AAATATTGTATAAACATATTAAATATTATATATGTAAATATCACAAACAACGATTGTCTATCAATATTACATCATACTTATAGTATGTTTTTGATTATTTTTTACAAATAATTTGATATATCCGACATAATATAAAAAAATATAGATAAAACAAAGTAGATTGATGCGGCATAGCCGCAAGGCTGACAACACTCCTTTTTCATCAATATCACTTCAGAAGATTCCAGTGAACAGTCCTGGACAAAACACAAACTCAAACAAAAACATATCAGTGATAAACCACAATCATTTCACTTTGTGTAAATGAAAATAAACTATCAATGAACATAATTATGATTCATTTCGGTCCTCCGCATCACCTTCCGTGTCGCTTCATCAAATCCCTTGCTTTATATTTGGCCTGCAATAAAAATCACATATAAATGAAGAGTTGTTGTTTTGTTAGTGAAATGGTTACTTATCAAAACATATTGTCTTTTATCAAAAAAATAACACCCAGCCTGAGCTAGCTTTCCAGATGGCTTTGGCTTTCCGCGAGCCACACGGTACATTGATCTTTTTGACCTCAATTGAATGACATGAAAATTAATTGTTTCCCCAAAAAAACAATCACTCAAAATAAAGCTACTGCGCAGGCAATGGTTTCAATAAATACATAAAATAAGGTTCCCACGGTAAGGCCGCAATAGCCTTTCCGCTTGTGAATGCAGCGGGTACTTGTGATGTCATACTTCCGCGGGAGCTGTTTGCCACCAAGGTTGGCCATGGGATTCTGATGTTGGAGCTTCTGTGTCAGAGACCAGGGCTGCAGCAGCTTCCTTATTGGAATCTTCAGCGTCCATCGAAGACTTGGGAAGCTCTGAGGGTTCCTGAGTCGTGGCTTCGACCACATTTGGTACGAGGGGTTCGCGTCGCCAGCGTTGTCTGTTTCGCCGCCATGGCGCCTCCACGGGTGAGTCCTTGTCAGCCGCGGGTGAGTCCTTGTCCGCCGCAGGTGAGTCCTCCTCCGCCTCTGCTCGACTGCTTGTCCTGGCGAACTGAGATCGTAGTAGACATCTATGTATTACAAAACAAAGCTCAAGTACACACTATGGGAAAAATGTGCACACTGTCAATGAGAAAAACAAGAAGCTGTCCTGTCAAGTAGCCATTGACCACCCAAACTGCGTGGTTCACTCTTAGGCACAGGATACCTCACACGACAGTGCTATATATATGTCTATGATATCTTTGATATTGATAAAAAACGGCACAGCCGCAAACATAAATTGAAATCTAAAAATTCTGATTGTTCCTGGAAACTCTTCAAACATTGGTTTCACAGGAAGGTGTGTGGACTCTCCCACAACCTCTGCGCGAGCAGTTGTGGCCACGGAGGTAATCAAATCCTGTGCGCTGCCTGGATCTTGCGTCTCCTCAGAGTCTTGGGCAGCGGCGACTGCGGCCGTTGGCGACAGAGCTTCCGCCGCACTCACAGTGGGTGCAGCTTTTGTGTGTTCGAGCTCAACATTGTCTCCAGGCTCTTCACCACAGTCTTTGTCCGCGGCTGCGGTCATCTGAGGTTCTGCTCCAGCAGCAGCCTGCGCCTCTTCCAGGAGAGTCGCTACTGCAGAGACATCCTTGCTGGGCGATCGACTCTCCTCAGGACTCTCCAGCTTAGGCACTGCGACATCTTGGTCTGTTGCGTTCGCAGTGCCCACAGGCTTGGGCGGCTCGCCTTGTGGTATGGGTCGAGCTGCCTCTTGCTCTTCTGACTCGCCCTCTACTTGGGAGTGCCTGTCAGAGTCACTGCGCCGCTGAGACTTCTCCCTGCGTCTCCTTCCGCGTCTAGACCTCTTCCTGTGTCGCCGCCGTCGCTTGACAGAACTCTCTGAGCTACGGCGCCGTCTCTTTCTCCTTCTCCGCACGGTGACGTTGAGACGGATAAAAGCGGGCACGACCGTCACTGAGTAGGAGCTATCACTGGAAGACATAGCTTCCCTCATTGAGCCAAATTCAATGAGTTTTGAGCAGCCCCAATAAAGCGGCGGCGCGCACGAACCTCTTGCGGTTGATCGATCAACCACATGGTTTCTTTTTAATATATGTTTTACAGATACTAGATCTACTTTTCAATGACTGCATGTTTATTCGCAGCAATTAGGTAAGCACCTGGGCTACCTGATGTTGTTTCATTGTGACATGTGGTGACATAGGGAAAGCGCCAAAACTGCGGAATCCAAAACTCAAACGGCAAAGCCGTGTGTGGAAGCGTAGAGCCAAAAACTCTGGGTGAACTCGTTGAATAAGTCAACCAGCGCCGCCGCAGTGGGACTATATAGGGATAAAAATGAGATAGCACTCTCTTTTGCACATGTATTCCACTGTGTGTACACATGTATGAAACACTAAACAGCTGATACCATATATGATTTCCATATGTTTAAATGTTTATCTGTGGTCGTTGTTTGTATGCATCTGATCGAAAGCTGTTTTCTTTTTCCAAGCAGCTGCTCTCCAATCAGGGTGCATAACCGCGAGCCCTCCAACAGGAAGGCGTGCAGCCCTTCGCCTGGTAGCGACACTTGCCGCAACCGCCCCGATACTCGCGCACTAGCCACTGGGGCGCCTTCGGCAACGAAGTGAGGGCGGCTTTTGGAGTGGCGCTAGGCTTCTTGTGAACTGCACTGCGGGCGCTCGGCTTCTTCTTGGGCACGGATGAGGCGGCCTCCACCTGCGTTTGCTGCGCCGGTCGCTTCAGGACTGCAGGCGGTGGGTGCTCTTCGGCCGCCTTCGACGGAGTTGGCATGCTTTTCTTGATGGGCTCCACTGCGATGGCTGGCTTCCGCTGGACGCCCAAAGCTGCATCCAACGCAGCCATCGAACTCTCCGCCGCCTCCAAGAAAGGCTTTGTCTCAGCCTCCTCTGCTGGGTCGACCTCCTCCTGGTCTGTAAGAGGCGAAGCTGCCACCATCTGCAAGGCCTCGGCCGGTGGACTCGCGGGCTGTTTGCTGGTTTCGACCTGCGGCTCCTGCTTGCTTGGGACGGGCGGTGCCTCCGTCCTCGGGCGCTTTGCGCTCGGTGCCTGACTCGCTGGGGCAGATTGCTGGTTTATTTGGCTGTGAAGCCTTTCAAACAACGCGGTGGCCTGTGACACTTTGCTTCGCGGATCTGGACTCTTGGTCATGTGGCGATGTCGGACGCCAGCGGGAGCTCTGCCGCCAAGGATATCCATAAACCGCTCCAAAACGTTCTCGGCCGCTGAGAGCTGTGGCGCAGGTGCAGATCGACCGTCGCCTCGGTCCAACATGGAGTGTGTTTTGCGCATGGGGATCTGCGCCTTGATGGAAGCCAGCTGGAGGAACCACCTCTCGTCCATCTCGACCAACTCGTTTCCGTTCACCGCAGAGAAATCTGCCCAGGTTGAAGGAAACTCC